TTTTTTTTTTTATCACTTGAGCCTGGGAGGTTGGGACTACAGTGAGCTTTTTTTTTTTTTTTTTTTTCCAACCTGGGTGACAGAGCAAGATCCTGCCTCAAAATTTTTTTTTTTTTTTTTTGAACATTTAAAATTATTTGTCCTGGGCGAGACGCAGTTTTTTTTTTTTTTTTTTTCCAGCACTTTGGGAGCCCGAGGTGGGTGGATCACTCGAGGTCAGGAGTTCAAGACCAGCCTGACCAATATGGTGAGACCCCGTCTCTACTAAAAATACAAAATTAGCTAGGCATGGTGTCACATGCCTGTAATCCCAGATACTTGGGAGGCTGAGGCAGAAGAATCGCTTGAACCCTGGAAGAGGAGGTTGCAGTGAGCCAATTTTTTTTTTTTTTTTTTGGGCAACAAGAGTGAAACTCCATCTGAAAAGTTAAAATTTTTTTTTTTTTTTTTTTTGTCCTGGAATAAAATTGATCTTTGTTAAATATGATTACGTTTATCCTGAAATTTCAGGTGTTTGCTGTACACTGCCCTATTTGTTCTCTATTTTTTTTTTTTTTTTTTCTTTGATAAATAGTAAGCACTTTGATGGCAGGGACTATTTTTTTTTTTTTTTTTTTTATTTCTAACATTAAACACAATATCTAACACATAGTTTTTTTTTTTTTTTTTTTGACAAAATAATTGCATGAAAGTTCTCTATTGGAATAATTTTTTTTTTTTTTTTTTTTGTGAACATTTTTAAATTTTAAATCATTTTACTCACAGGAAAAGCTTGACTGATGATATCATGAAAGTCGTGCATGTTTTAAAATGGCTTTTTTTTTTTTTTTTTTTTTCAGAATCTTTTTTTACTTTATATAGTTAAAGTACAAATTTTTTTTTTTTTTTTTTTATATTATAAGTATTCAGCTCAGTACAACGTTACACACTCAACATGCTCACGTAATAAACACCCACCAACAAACAGAACTTGACCTGCCCTCTTTTTTTTTTTTTTTTTTTGTCAGGTCATTGCAGCCCTTTTTAACAGGATAGGTTTTTTTTTTTTTTTTTTTTTATACTTGAATAGGATTTAAGACAAGTAATGTTGAATAGAAAATATTCTGTAACAAATCAGGTTAATGATTTAATATTCATTATTAGCAGCCTTTTTTTTTTTTTTTTTTGGTGTGGTGGTTTATACCTTTAATCCCAGCACTTTGGTTTTTTTTTTTTTTTTTTTGGCTTGAGGCCAGGAGTTCAAGACCAGTCTGAGCAATTTTTTTTTTTTTTTTTTCCATACTTTTGTATACTATTCAGCACAAAAATGTCAATTTTTTTTTTTTTTTTTTACTCATTTTAGCTTTTGTGTTAATTAACAATGAGCAATAAATTCTTTTTTAAATTTTTGATGTGTAATAATTGTACATATTTAGGGGTACAGTTTTTTTTTTTTTTTTTTGTATACAATGTAATGATCAAATCAAGGTAATTAGCATTTTTTTTTTTTTTTTTTTTCATTTGTTTATTTTGGGAATATTCAAAATCCTCTCTTTTTTTTTTTTTTTTTTTTTTTAAAAATTATTGACTATAGTCACCATACAATGCTTTTTTTTTTTTTTTTTTTCTCATCTTATCTAGTAGTAGCTTTGTATCTGTTAACCAACCTCTCCCTATCTTCCCCTCCTCCATACTCTTTTCATTTTCTAAAAACCACAATTCTACTCTCTACTTCTATGAGCTCAACTTTTTTAGCTTCCACATATGAATGAGATTTTTTTTTTTTTTTTTTTCTGTCCCTGACTTATTTCACTTAGCATAATGTCCTTTTTTTTTTTTTTTTTTTTCATGAATCATAGGATTTCATTCTTTTCATGGCTGAATTTTTTTTTTTTTTTTTTTTGTGTGTGTATGTGTATACCACATTTCTTTATTCATGTTTTTTTTTTTTTTTTTTATTTCATATCTTGTGAATAGTGCTGAATTAAACATGGTTTTTTTTTTTTTTTTTTGTCATATTGATTTCCTTTCCTTTGGATAAACATCCAGTTTTTTTTTTTTTTTTTTATATGGTAGTTCTATTTTTCGTTTTTTGAGGAACCGCTTTTTTTTTTTTTTTTTTGGCTATACTAATTTACATTCCCACCAGCAGTGTATAATTTTTTTTTTTTTTTTTTATTCGCACCAGCATTTTTTATTTTTTGTCTTGTTGGTTTTTTTTTTTTTTTTTTTAGTGAATTGTTACTTTTAAGCTCTTATATCTAACCATTTTTTTTTTTTTTTTTTTTTTTGTTTGACTTTTCATTTGTTTAGATTAGTAGTTCTTTTTTTTTTTTTTTTTTACTTAATCTCCCAAAGATTATTTGCCAGTGTCTGGAGATGTTTTTGGTTGTCTTAACCCACCAAAAACAGCTGTCAGTGCTACTGACATCTATTTTTTTTTTTTTTTTTTTTGCTGTGAAAATCAGTTTTCAGAACAGAGCCCCGTATTTTTTTTTTTTTTTTTTTAAAATGTCAACAGTGCCAAGTAGTGCTTTTTAAAGAATGGGTGGGTTGTTTGTGTTTGATGTAAGTTAGTTTAAATAGATTATAGCGCCTTTTTTTTTTTTTTTTTTTTATCAGAAATTTAATTCCCATAGACGCTAGTTAACCTGTCTGTAGTTCATGCACTCCAGACCTCAGCCAGATGTCTTAAACATTTCTGCTGCATTTTTTTTTTTTTTTTTTATGAGAAAATATAGATGGGTTGGTATAAATCTATCACTTTTTTTTTTTTTTTTTTTCAATATGATATTTTTTACTTAACCCAAGTCTGTCTCTTTTTTTTTTTTTTTTTTCTCACTATGTTGGAATCAGCTTATAAACTTTGACTAGTTTTTTTTTTTTTTTTTTTTATAAGTTCCTGAATTAATGGTCTACAGGCTTGAGGTTTTTTTTTTTTTTTTTTGTTACATTATGGGCAGGCAGTTATCTAGCACCAACCATTTTTTTTTTTTTTTTTTTGGAGATGTTAGGTGGGAAGGCTTGTAGCCCTCTACATTTTTTTTTTTTTTTTTTCCTGCTCTATTCCTTTTTTCGAGTAGTTATAGGAGGTTTTTTTTTTTTTTTTTTTCATACATGCTGGTAATAAATAGAAATTATCTGATAGTTTTTTTTTTTTTTTTTTTGGGCATAGTTTTCCATGTATTTTACTGTCCTTTTGTGTTTTTTTTTTTTTTTTTTAGTTGATCTATCATGAACAAAGAGAGCCACATTTAAGTTTTTTTTTTTTTTTTTTTGTTGTTATGCAGGAAAGAATTAATGGTAATGTATACTTTTTTTTTTTTTTTTTTAAAGTGTTTCTCCAAAAGTAACCTCAGACAACATGACTTTTTTTTTTTTTTTTTTTAGTTGGAATTTCAAATCCACAAGTCCTTAAACTGAATGAGAAGATTAATTTAGAATTTGACCATTTGACTCTGCTCTTTTAACTTTGAAAGTTTTTTTTTTTTTTTTTTTTGTATGAAGAAAATTGCTTGGGATAATTTGCATTAAACAGTCTGTTTTTTGTTAAGTGACTTATTTGTATTATGAAACCATGGCCTTATTATTTTTTTTTTTTTTTTTTAGAAGAAATGGAATATGTCATAGAGCTCTAGGCCTTCTTTAGTTTTCAGTACAAATTTGGTATATTTGGTATTTGGGAGGATACACATGGCATTTTTTTTTTTTTTTTTTAGCTTTCATGTCAGATCCAGGTCCAGATTCTGCCACTTTTTTTTTTTTTTTTTTTGGTCCACCTAGCTCTTATGGGCCTTTTTTAGCAACGGTTTTTTTTTTTTTTTTTTAAATATGATGAGAGAGTAAGTAGGTAAAATAATCCTATAAAAGAATGGTCAGGAGGAGTCTGGCCTCTGGCTCTGTCATTGATGACTGGCTGTTTTTTTTTTTTTTTTTTAACTATTTGAGTGACCTAAAATGGGATGGTGACTTGCCCGAGGTCATACAGTGAGTCAGGGCAGAGCAGTTGAAGCTTTACTCTCTAAGTCTTTTTTTTTTTTTTTTTTTAATTGTTGTATTGGTGACTGTCTCACAGCATGTTGTATTTTTTTTTTTTTTTTTTAATTGTAAGAGGCAGCCCACAGTGCTGGCACAGTGTAAGCACCAATAAATGAAGGTAATGAGTACAATAAAATGTGTCACTTAGCCCCTTTCTTTTTTTTTTTTTTTTTTCTGGTTGATGAGAGCCATACACACTGTGTGCTAAGACTTTTTTTTTTTTTTTTTTATTAAGTTCTAGTACTGCGTTATACTAATAATGCTAGTTTTTTTTTTTTTTTTTTATAAAATACCATAATGCAAAGTTTGTTTAAGCCCTTTACCCTTTTCTTTCTCCATTGGGACTTTATTTTTAGAGCACGTCACAAATTATGCATTTTTTTTTTTTTTTTTTAAGAATGGAAGCAGAGAGAGCAGTGTGAAGGTAGTACTTTTTTTTTTTTTTTTTTCCTCAGGTTAGGGTGATAGCAGAGGCCGTGGTGAGAATTTTTTTTTTTTTTTTTTCCAGGCACGGTGGCTTACGCCTATTATCCCAACAGTTTTTTTTTTTTTTTTTTTTATATCGCTTCAGCTCAAGAGTTCAAGACCAGCCTGGGTTTTTTTTTTTTTTTTTTTCTCTACAGAAAATACAAAAATTAGCCAGGTGTGGTGTTTTTTTTTTTTTTTTTTAGCTACGTGGGAGGCAGAGACAGAAGGGTTACTTGAGTTTTTTTTTTTTTTTTTTCAGTAAGCTATGATCATGCCACTGCATTCCAGTTTGGTTTTTTTTTTTTTTTTTTGTCTCAAAGAAAAAAAGAAAGAAAAGACAACTAAAGGTTTTTTTTTTTTTTTTTTAGTTCATTTTACCGCTTCATTGAGGCTATTCTTAAAGTTTTTTTTTTTTTTTTTTACAGTGAGTACATGGTGGAGAAGAATACAATACTGAATTTTTTTTTTTTTTTTTTCTAGTAACCAGGCTTCATCTTCTTCCCCTTTGACTGCAGATCCTAATTATCTCATGGCTAACGAACGCATGAACCTCATGAACATGGCCAAGTTTTTTTTTTTTTTTTTTATTGAATCAGCTCTGAACCTGGGGAGGACTCTTGACTTTTTTTTTTTTTTTTTTTAGCAATTCTTTGTGGTGATGGAACACTGTCTGAAACATTTTTTTTTTTTTTTTTTGTCGTCCCAAAATGCTAATATGCATGCAGCTGTTTTCTTTTTTTTTTTTTTTTTTAAGAAAGCATTCTTTGTAGAGCCAAAGAATAAGAGGCTTTTTTTTTTTTTTTTTTTCCATTGGAATGGAGTCTATATAGGAGCAGGGTTATGTTTTTTTTTTTTTTTTTTTAGGGCTTTAAAAATACAGATCATTAAATGTTACAGTTTTTTTTTTTTTTTTTTTTAATCAAATCCAGTACAGTAATTGTTTGACAGGTGGATTTTTTTTTTTTTTTTTTGAGACATGACTTGGTCAAGGTCACACATTGAGTTGTGGCAGAGTAGGTGCTAGAACTCAGGTCTCCCGACTCTTGGTTCAGTGTTCTTTCCATTTTTTTTTTTTTTTTTTAGGGCAGTATCTGGTCTTGTTCACCCCTGTTTCCTTTTTTTTTTTTTTTTTTTTTTTCTTTTCCTGTTATTTTTTGTTTGGTTGTTTTTTTATTTTTTTTTTTTTTTTTTTTACCAACTTCCCAATATTCCATAGCCTATTTCTGGATTTTTTTTTTTTTTTTTTTGAGCTGTTTTCTTCATTAATACCACACAATTTTAGGTTTTTTTTTTTTTTTTTTTTTTATTATATTATATGGCTAGGCCACAAACTGTTCTTTTTTTTTTTTTTTTTTTGTCTTGGGAAGTAGAAAATTTTTTATTTTCACAAAATTTTTTTTTTTTTTTTTTTATGAATGAATCTAAAACCATCTTATAACCTGGGATTGTTTTTTTTTTTTTTTTTTTGTGTGTGTGTGTGTGTGTGTGTGTGTATTGAGAGAATTTTTTTTTTTTTTTTTTTATTAAAATACTGTTTTATTTTTGTTGCCTTAGCTAATTTTTTTTTTTTTTTTTTAAATAAGTCTTTCTGGGGACCTCTAGAACTGGTAGAAAAGCTTGTTCCAGAAGCCGCAGAGATAACAGCAAGTGTTAAAGATCTTCCAGGACTTTTTTTTTTTTTTTTTTGAATTCCATTTCTCGGGAACAGCATTCTTATTAACTATCCCTTGAAGAGCAAGACTTCCAATCCAAAATGCATGATGTCCTGAATAGGTGCTTTTTTTTTTTTTTTTTTTTACAGAATATTAAGAAAATTGTGCTCTTGAGGGATAATTTTTTTTTTTTTTTTTTTTGTCTTTTTGTTGAAATGCCAAACATTTCCTTATTTTTTAAAGCACTTGGGGGAATCACTTAGTGTGTCTCAAGAAATTGTATCTAAGGGGTTTTTTTTTTTTTTTTTTCTTAGGGAAAAATGCTATTCAGTGGGTTTGAGAGTCATTTTTTTTTTTTTTTTTTAATTAACCTGAAGAGCTAGTGACTGTAGCCTGCCTTAGAACTACGAAGTAGTGACCACCTTCCCAAATGAGACTGGTTTAATTTTAATCAGATTTTTTTTTTTTTTTTTTGTGTCCACATTCATGCTTTGGACTTTTATATAATCCATTTTTTTTTTTTTTTTTTTGCTATTACTAATCTGATGGAACATTTTTAGTTGGGTTTTTTTTTTTTTTTTTTTTCAAATTGTAGTTACATTCAGTAATTCTTTTTGAAAGTTTTTTTTTTTTTTTTTTCCCTGGGTCGCATTAGCCCACACAGAAATTCCTTGCCCAGGAATATGCTGGGAGAGGTCCTAAGGAGCACCTCAGTGTGCTTGTTACACTGGTTTTTTTTTTTTTTTTTTAAGTGAACTGATTCTGCTGTAGCCTTTGCTTCTGTTGTTTTTTTTTTTTTTTTTTTGATTTCTGTGTTTTTGTAGGACACCAGTAGGTAGAGTTTTTTTTTTTTTTTTTTTGGCATTAATGCAAAAGAAACTTTCAGAATATATGAATTTTTTTTTTTTTTTTTTAGAACTTCTCAGGTATGAACACCTTGAACTTTCTTCTTTCCTTGGTATGTTCTACATCGTATAAAGTCAAACCATGTAAGTTCACCATTTTTTTTTTTTTTTTTTTTTTTATTCATAATAGCTTCACTGATACTTTCTCTCATACCTTTTTTTTTTTTTTTTTTTAATGGATGATTTATGTTATGTGTGTTCTGTCTGTCACTGTGGTATATATTGGTCTTTTCCAGGGCAGGCCAAGACTTACCTCCAGAAAACAGTTTTTTTTTTTTTTTTTTCCCAGGCTCAATAAGACAAGAACTTGATATGTAGCATTTTTTTTTTTTTTTTTTTAAAATTGGACGGGTGCAGTGGTTCACACCTGTAATCCTTTTTTTTTTTTTTTTTTAGGTGGGCAGACCACTTGAGGCCAGGAGTCCTATATGTTTTTTTTTTTTTTTTTTAAAAAATATAAAAATTAGCCGGGCGTGGTGGTGCACATTTTTTTTTTTTTTTTTTTGGGTGGCTGAGGCACGAGAATCGCTTGGACCCAGGATTTTTTTTTTTTTTTTTTCCAAGAGCGTTCCACTGCTCTTCGGCCTGGGCGACAGTTTTTTTTTTTTTTTTTTAAAAATATATATATATAAAATATCACAAAATCTTCCATTTTTTTTTTTTTTTTTTCTGGGAGAGGCAAAACAGCATTATTTTATTTTATCCATTTTTTTTTTTTTTTTTTATTGTATAAAGGTCAAAAATAGGTAAAATCAATCTATTTTTTTTTTTTTTTTTTTAATAGTTACCTTGGAGAAGTGCCGGTAGAGATTGGAAGAGAGAAAGAACTGATTTCTAGGATTCCAGTGATCAGGATAGTGATTACACAGATTTTTTTTTTTTTTTTTTTATGGAACTGACATTTAGTTAGCTGAGATTTGGAAATGTTTTTTTTTTTTTTTTTTGCCATATTCCGCTTCTGACCAATTCATAAGGTGAGGCTTTTGGGACAATAGACTGTCAAAGAACCTTGTTCATTCCAGTTCTACTCAGTTTCCTTCAGGGGCTATCAAAGAACAAATATAGCACGTGATCAGTTTTTGAGAGAAACGGTAAATTTGCAGCTCATTCATGTACTGTTTTTGTGCTATTTTGTCATTTGTTAATTTTTTTTTTTTTTTTTTTGACAGAGTCTCGCTCTGTTACCAGGCTGGAGTGCAATTTTTTTTTTTTTTTTTTTTGCAACCTCCACCTCCCGGGTTCAAGCTATTCTCCTGTTTTTTTTTTTTTTTTTTCTGGGACTACAGGTGCACACCACCACGCCCAGCTAATTTTTTTTTTTTTTTTTTTGACGGGATTTCACCATGTTGGCCAGGATGGTCTCGATTTTTTTTTTTTTTTTTTTACCCACCTTGGCCTCCCAAAGTGCTGGCATTACAGGCTTTTTTTTTTTTTTTTTTCCTGTTAATATCTTTTAGAGAGAATCAGAAAATAAATTTTTTTTTTTTTTTTTTTAATTATATTGATTATTAACAGTGATTGAGGTTGACCTTTTTTTTTTTTTTTTTTTTTGTTGAAAACAAATTGATTAGCCGGACGCGGTGCCTTTTTTTTTTTTTTTTTTTACTCTGGGAGGCCAAGGCGGGCAGATCACAAGGTCAGTTTTTTTTTTTTTTTTTTGCTAATACAGTGAAACCCCGTCTCTACTAAAAATATATTTTTTTTTTTTTTTTTTGTGGTGGGCGCCTGTAGTCCCAGCTACTCAAGAGACTTTTTTTTTTTTTTTTTTTGAACCCCGGGGACAGAGCTTGCAGTGAGCCGAGATCATTTTTTTTTTTTTTTTTTTGGGCGACAGCAAGACAACGTTTTTAAAAAAAAAAACTTTTTTTTTTTTTTTTTTTGTTTCAATCACGTCAAATTGACTGAAAATGAATACTTTTTTTTTTTTTTTTTTTGGTTTTTGTTTTGTTTTGTTTTGTTTTGTTTTAAGTGTTTTTTTTTTTTTTTTTTAGGTCAGAGTGCAGTGGTGCGATCGCAGCTCACTGCATTTTTTTTTTTTTTTTTTCAATCGATTCTCCTGCCTCAGCCTCCCGAGTAGATGGTTTTTTTTTTTTTTTTTTCCACGCCTGGATAATTTTTGTATTTTTAGTAGAGACATTTTTTTTTTTTTTTTTTCAGGGTGGTCTTGAACTCCTGACCTCAAGTGATCCGCCTGCCTCAGCCTCCCAAAGTGTGGGGTTTACATGCGTGAGCCACCACGCCTGGCCTTTTTTTTTTTTTTTTTTAAATCTAAAAGACTATTTTTTAGAGTGGTTTTAAATTTTTTTTTTTTTTTTTTTTAAGGTACAGAGATTTTTCATATATACCCTTCTCCCCTTTTTTTTTTTTTTTTTTTTCAACATCCCACAAGAGTGGTGCATTTGTTACAATTGTTTTTTTTTTTTTTTTTTATCATTATCTCCCAAAGTTCATAGTTTACATTAAGGTTTACTCTTGGTATTGTATGTTTTATGGATTTTGACAAATGTATAATGATATGTATTTTTTTTTTTTTTTTTTTTACAAAATAGTTTCACGGCCCTAAAAAATCCTCTATGTTTTTTTTTTTTTTTTTTCTGTCCTACAACCCCTAATAACCACTGATCGTACTGTTTTTTTTTTTTTTTTTTTCAGGGGTTTACTGTCTCTATGGTTTTGCCTTTTCCAGTTTTTTTTTTTTTTTTTTTCATACAGTATATGGCCTTTTCAGACTGGCACCTTTCTTTTTTTTTTTTTTTTTTGTTTCCTCCGTGGCTTGATAGCTCCCTGTTTTCTTTCTTTTTTTTTTTTTTTTTTTTTTT